TGTCCAGAAATTCAAAAGCATGCCATCATTCAAATTTAAAAAAAAAAAAAAGTAAAAACAAGAAAAGTACATTCTTTAGAAACAAAACAACCAAGCCACATTTACTTTAAATAAATTAAAACAAAGAAACAAACAAAGCATTCTGGTTGAAAATAGAGGACATTGAAAATGCCATATAACCCAAATCAAATGAAGAAATAAACCCAGCACAACTTTGGACATCCAATAGCTGAATGACCTTCAACCCCCTCCTTTTTTTTTTTTTTTTTTTTTTTTTTTGTTCTCGAGACAACGCTGCTCAAATCTGGAGTGGAGGTGACTTACTGCTGAATTTACTACTCACGTGACACAAGTTACAAGTTGATATTGTTGAATGAGAAAACTGAACACAAACAATTCAGGAACAACGGCTGATTTTTTCTTTTCTTCTTCTTTTTTTTTTTTCCTAAAGTTAAATTTAGTGCACTCTGTCTTAAAAATACGTTTACAGTATTGGATACAAGCAAGGGTGAAAAAATGTGTGTGTGTGTGTGCGTGTGCGTGTGTGTTGGAGCGGTAGTTTGCTTAATAGGTTATACAAAACAATGCCACAGTGACCGCGTGTATATTGTTTTCTTTTGGTGACGGGGTTTTAGTATATATTATATATATTAAAATTTCTTGATTACTGTAAAAGTGGACCAGTACTTGTAATATTCGAGAATGCCTGGGCATTTTACAAAACAAGAAAAAAAAAAAAAAAAAAAAAAAAAAAAACAACCCTTTTCTTTTTCCTTGACAATGTTGCCGTAAAATTTAAATGGTGGGTCTATCTATCAATTTGTTCTTGTCACAGTAACTGTAAAGTTGGAGTTTTAGTAAATTTTTTCTGCCTTGGGTGTTGAATTTTTATTTCAAAAAATGTATAGAAACTTGTATTTGGGGATAAAAAGGGGATTGCTACATCATGTAGAAAAAGTATGTAGAAAAAAAAAAGTGCTTAATATTGTTAATGCTTTGCAGAAAAAAAAATCACATTTCTGACCTGTAGTTATTTTTCTCTCTCCACCTCCCTCTGGAATGGATATATTGGTTGGTTCATATGCTGTAGGCACTTGCTGTATTTTTACTGAAGCTTGTAATTTTTTAACTGTAAGCTTGTCCTTTTAAAGGGACTTAATGTACCTTTTTGTTAGTGAATTTGGAAATAAAAAGAAAAAAAAAAAAAAAAAACACAAAAACAAACAGGCTGCCATAATATATTTTTTTAATTTGGCAGGATAAAATATTGCAAAAAAAAAAAAGAAAGAAAATTTAAAAATTTGTATGTTAAGTCCTCTTGTACAGGAGAAATTGGGTTGTTTGACAACCTTTGAGGCAAAGAAACAAAAGAAAGTTGTTCACTGCATTGGTTGGTTCACAAATCATTTTAGTTGTATATATTTTTGTCAGAATTGGCCCTACACAAAGAACTGTTGGCTTTGTAAGGCAACACTCCGAAGGCCCCAAACCTTGCATCAGGGCTCCGTGGAGTGGGCTCAGCGGACCGAACGAGGAATCTGCGCTCAGTGCTAAGTGGAAAATTAGTTGTTGGAAAGATGTTGGTACATTCCACAGCCCTCCTTTCTCATAGAGGCCAAACCAGGTGTTAGGAGAAAGCAAAAGTGCATTTTTTGCTTCACCTGCCCCACCCTTGAGAACAGAAAAAAATGCAAACCAGGCTGGTACAATCCTTGAAAACCCATATAAAATAAAGAATCCAATGTCGTGAAAAGAGCTGGTGGCACTACTAGGGTTTGGTGGCCCTAACAGGGTTTGCTGCTGAGAGCGGTACAGATTGGGGTCCAGGAAGGTGAGGCCCGGGCCAGTGCCCTGACCCCATCTCCAGAAAGACCCCTTTATTCCATAGATGGAGCTGCTGGGCCTGTTGTCCTCCCTGACTGAAACCTACTTTCCGTCTGTTGCCAGTGCCGAGGGGCTGGGATGAATTGGGGTACCTTTCTATCCCTGCTTGCCCACTCCACCTCCAGCCTCTGTCAGCCTGTATGCGTTCTTCTCATTGTCATGTGGTTTCTTTTCCTTCTCCCCGTACCCCCCGCCTCTTTTTTTTTTTTTTTTTGTAAAGCCAAGTA